AATTTTAGGCGAAGGAAATTTTGGAATTGGGAAATTACTTAATTAACAAGGTCCGCGGTAAATTGAACAATATTTTTCTTTTTTTCATTTGAATTACATGTATCCATGAATCACATTAAGGAGATTTATTGATTTATTTCTAAGTATGAGTATGTACTATGTAGTGTATAAATATATTTTGTAGTATGTGTATGTACTTTGTAGAATATTTTAAAGTTATTGCACTACCATGCTATGTTGTCATCGTTTCAAATACACACGTTCTTAAAGAAACAAAACAAAATAGGTTGTAAGAAAACTGATAAAATATTCAACTTTTGCTGTGTATAAGATCGTCTAAAGCGCGCGATACTTCTCAAATTGAGAACATCGCATGAATGTGAGGAAATCTTTTAAGCGTTCTCGTTGACGCCATATCTGATTTATATGTATATATGTCATTAAGCTCTATAATAACTGCAGCGGCTTGGTGGACTGGGTCAATAATGCTAAAACATGGATGACAATTAATCTTTTTCCGCTGAAATGATCGCTTTGCAGTAAAATAATATTCTCGACCTCCCTTTGTATCTATAGTCAATTATATAGAATTTTTAAAAAGGAGCGCGATATCTTTTACGTATTTTTTCATAATGCCAAACCTTCAATAGCTCAGTTTTTTGGTATCGTAATGTCCACAAAAAGGAGCATGTCGCTTTCACTGGTGAGATATTTGCTTGTAGAAATATTCTTACTACCTCACATGCAAAATATACATAAGAGCTAAATTATAATCACAGTCACCGTCACCAAATTCTGAAGCCTTGCATCTTTGTATCTTCTGTCGACATATAAATTGCTTGTAAATGATGCTAATATGTTCACAGGCATGTTTTCATCGTTAAAATCTTGGTGTTGGGTAGTATTAATTCGCATCTCAACAAATTTGAGGTATTCAAATGGAACAAGCGGGAACATGGAAACATATGGCACAGCTGAAAGCATCACCTTAACCTCATTTGGTTGGACCAAGATTTTGTGGCCAACCATAATGTAAATTGTTTTGGAGACAAAAAGCATGATGGGAAGATTTGCATTTTGACTTTCTGATTTTCATAGTTTTCAAGTGTTCTTAAATATGGGCTTAAGAATATCGTTAATTTTTCCTTTTTCGGGGAGGAGGGAGGGAGGAGCTCTTCATCTATTCATCAAAAGCATGTTAAGTTCTTTTGAAATCCAGCTTTTTATAAGGCTTATAACATAAATACATGGATTTGACCCCCTCCCTCCCGCAATTATCAGTTTTCCTACCCCAGCATGCTCTCATATTCTGCAAATTAATCGTGGCTTGTTATGGCAAGTTTACTATCGAGTGAGTTTTACAACACTGATGTATCTTTTAGTCGCACTCAGGATCTTTTTCAAACAGTTTTCTGAGAATTTCTATTTTACGCGTCACTAGTTTTATCAAAATTTCCAAAGCACTATGGGCAAAGTGAGCACAAAATTATGTTTTTTAAAAAATCAGTTATACGTATATGTGTTTTGTATTTCCTGTAGTTTTCTCTCATTTTCATTGTCCCCGGGAGTTCGGGGACCATACAGGATTATTAAAGAGCTGTTTCTCAGCCATAGAATGCTGTGCTGAAGTATGAAAAGTCACGTGACGTTGAACCGTTTAAAAATGGCGGTAGATAAAGAGGTATCAAGAAGTATAAAGAAGCAAGAAGCAATCAGCAAAGCTCCCACGATTTTTTGAGCAGAATTTAATCGTCCGTTCAGGTAAAATTTATCATTTATTTTTAACTCTTCAACGATAAGTAATGTCAAATTTTCATTTTTATGTGTAGGTTATAATATTGTTTGGCTGTGTAGTTCAGATTAGATTCTAGTGGCTACTTTGAGAATGTTAGGTACCTTGCCTTGTATCAGAGTTTTTTGTGGTTTAATTATTCTTTGCCAATGGGTAGTATTGCTAAATGTAATGGTCCTAATTATCATTTACACAATATGATAATAACATATTCCAGAAGAATGCATTCATTTTTCCATATGATATATGTATGATAATATAATAAATACTTTATTGTTTTTTGTAAAATTTATTATAGGATGATACACAAGTCACTTCATACTTACTCCAACTTGTGTTTCACCCTATACTATATTTCATACTTTATTGGCACTCCTTCAGCATCAACCAGTTTATCTATATGATGTTGTTTGCACTAGCTACAACTCTCACTACAAAAAACTTCTTTCAATATTATCATTTAGTATACATATGTGCATTTTGAATTATTATGATTGGTAATAACAGCTTGTGGATGATTTTCTTTGGCAACCCCTGATTAGTGATAAGCCGAAAGAAAATAAATTTAATAGCTTCTCATGCATATTTACTACTGTATTTTATACTATGTATATGAAGTTTTATATCAGAGTTTCCATGACCGAATTCTTTGTGTTAAGTTTCACACTGCTTCTGCAGAATCATATATTTTTCTTGTTACCTAATTCTTGAATACCTCTTTTTGGAGTTTTCTAATTTTCATTTCTAATCTTTTAATGTGATAATGTTTATGTTAGAACCATGCCTTAAATTGTCTATCTTTCTTCTTATTTAGAAACTTGACTTCATTGTTTAGACAAACACAAAATATTTGCAAAGTACATGTTAAAATCAGGCATTCATTGGGAAACATAGTAAACATTTTTATTGATAATCCATTAGCCACCCTTTCTCTAGATTGACTATTATGTTTTTTAAATTCTGTTATACATATACTATTATTATGAGATATTTTTGTCAATGAGCACCATTTAAAGCAGTTTACCATTGCTTTTACTTTATGGCTTACTACATTAATCTTTGTAGGCAAATTTGCTATCCTTATAGGCATTGCTAGGATGGCTATGTGGCCACTACCCCATGAGAACCAGTCCCTGCTAAATATTGAATTTGCTAAACTATTATCATCGATGTTCTTGCTGATTCATCATCTGTTGACAATGTAAATGTTTTATTAGTTTATGATTTATAATCACCAATATATGTCATCGGCACCAGGATATTACTGTGTTTTTAGTCCAGTGATGGATTAAGGTGATGTTTGAAATGGGGGAGTGCACCTTCAAGCCTAGGCAAGAAGGAGTGTAAGATGGGTGAAAATTTCCAAAGAATTATTAAATGCAACAAGCAGTTCATCTAAAGCAATTGTCATTGAAGTTCAAAGTAGCACATGTACGTCAAAATTTTACAGTTATGTTCTGCATTTTTGACATTCGTCTTACATATGTCTCCCAAATTTGTTTGATACGTTTGCTTCATATAACAAAAACGTCTGACTACCACAGTCCATTTTTCTTTTTCATGCTTTAAATTATTTTTGACCAATCAAGAGTGAAAATGCAATGAGGTAGTCAAAATTAGAACAGATCTTGTTTAACAAGAGTAAGACCAAAAATAGTTACCTTAACGGATTGTGATGCGTCGTCAAATCCTGTGGGAACGGGGAAGACATGTCTCCTCACACTTAAAAATCATCGATTTCAATTTAGGAAAAGTTTTAATTTTCTGACCCTGCCCCACCCCACCCCACCAATTTTCGAAACAGCACTAAATAGAATATTACTGTGGAAGATGGATTCTTGTGGGCTGCCTTAGACTTACAAGGTTATTTGGTCACCAGGAAAAATAGCAAATTCAAAAAATATTTTTATAATCTTTTTATAGAATATGCACGAGCAAACTCTACAGTTAGCAAAATGCACGAAGAATAAACATAGAAGTACGCATAAGTAGACAGGCACGAAGAATAAACATAGAAGTACGCATAAGTAGACATGCACGAAGAATAAACATAGAAGTACACATAAGTAGACATGCACGAAGAATAAACATAGAAGTACGCATAAGTAGACATGCACGAAGAATAAACATAGAAGTACGCATAAGTAGAAAGGCACGAAGAATAAACATAGAAGTACGCATAAGTAGACAGGCACGAAGAATAAACATAGAAGTACGCATAAGTAGACATGCACGAAGAATAAACATAGAAGTACGCATAAGTAGAAAGGCACGAAGAATAAACATAGAAGTACGCATAAGTAGAAAGGCACGAAGAATAAACATAGAAGTACGCATAAGTAGACAGGCACGAAGAATAAACATAGAAGCATAAGTAGACAGGCACGAAGAAGAATAAACATAGAAGTACACATAAGTAGAAAGGCACGAAGAATAAACATAGAAGTACACATAAGTAGAAAGGCACGAAGAATAAACATAGAAGTACGAATAAGTAGACAGGCACGAAGAATAAACATAGAAGTACGCATAAGTAGACATGCACGAAGAATAAACATAGAAGTACGCATAAGTAGACAGGCACGAAGAATAAACATAGAAGTACGCATAAGTAGACATGCACGAAGAATAAACATAGAACGCATAAGTAGACATGCACGAAGAATAAACATAGAAGTACGCATAAGTAGACAGGCACGAAGAATAAACATAGAAGTACGCATAAGTAGACAGGCATGCGTTCAAAGTAGACAAAGAAAAATTTTTCAGTATACTACCACAAAGTATGTGATACGAATGGACCATGGTTATTAATCCTCTCAAACGTTCTCTGTACTATGCTGTCTTTGAATAAAGGGTGGTCGTTAACCATCGCGTAACGTATGCTGAGCTTACATTTATATCTAATATTATGTTTGATATTGTTAGGAAACGTATTTGTTAGAAAATCTTCCTTGTTAAATAATTATTTTTAGCTCTGTCTGCATGCTTTCAAGAATTTTTTCGTAAGTTAAAGATTGTTGATAAGAATCACAAAGTGAGTCGTATCCGCTTATTGAATCCAAAAGGCTGCTATTCAAAGCATGAATCAGGAAGAAAGGACTGCCTGTAACTATATTTCAGTGTTTTGTTAGCATTTCTCCACATTCTCATTGCTAACTTAGTTATATGCTCATAATAGCGATTCTCGTGTTGAAATATAGACAAGGTGACAAAATGGATTTTAATCATAGTTCTTGAAATAATTAGAATTTAGTTATGAATGCTTATGTTTGAGTACAACCAAATATTAGAAACTACAAAATTATCCTACGCCATTTTGGCATTGTGATTATATAAAAGCTAAAGTTTAAAAAATCGTTTACGACATTCACTCCTTCGCAGATATGAAGGATGTTTCATCATAAATTGGGTTAGCCTGATGCATGACTACCACCTGTCGACTCTGTTCTCTTGTCTCTCTAAAAGTTCAAAAGATAACATAAAAATTTAATTTAATTTATAATCAATAAGCTCCAAATAATTCTCAATGTTTGCAATAGTTCCATCTGAATATATTAATATCAGAATTCATAAGCGCAATGTATTTTTTTCGATGAGAGGTTGGGTCTGAAAGTTTTTATTCCGGATTTCAGATTCCGATATCGGAAGCCCGAATAGTTTTCACGGATGTGTAAATTGTTTTAAAGTTTCTGTTTACTTCCACTGTTTGCAGTGACAACGAGATATAGTTTGTGTGCACGTGACCTCAAGGGTTTATAGTACGTCATTTCGGGGAAGTGAAGAACCAACATTGCTTCCAGTAATGCAAAACAGTCCATAATCATAGAATCAGGAAACGCAGAAAGCTCACTCCATTGAATTTTCTTTTGAGCATATCTTATTACGCATTTGTTTACCATAATGGCGGGCCAGTCAATTGCCTGTTTTGAACTATAGGAATGTTAGCATGCGTAACTGCAGCCAGCACTTACGGAGTGAAGTGGCGTTTGTGTGTATTCCTTTAGTCTGTGCCATAATTACTCGATTATACATCCAAACTTTTAATGCCTTACGTAATTGTTTTTTCTCGTGTAAGTTAAAGCATATGTTTCTCGTCATTTGTTCCACGTAAAACCTTGCTTTGATGGCATTAATTTTCATTTTTGTGGTTTTTATTATTAGGTCGACTAAAGATGGCTGAACAGATTTGGGACCGGGAAAAGTTTTCCCCGTAAGTTTTGCTTTTTATCGTTAACATTTCTATGCTGTCTTAGACATTTCTATGCTATCTAGAAATAAAAAAACATTTTCTGTGTTTCTATGGAGTTATAGAAACACGCGGAAAAGTTTTCCCCGTAAGTTTTGCTTTTATCGTTAACATTTCTATGCTGTCTTAGACATTTCTATGCTATCTAGAAATAAAAAAACATTTTCTGTGTTTCTATGGAGTTATAGAAACACGCGGAAAAGTTTTCCCCGTAAGTTTTGCTTTTTATCGTTAACATTTCTATGCTGCCTTAGACATTTCTATGCTATCTAGAAATAAAAAAACATTTTCTGTGTTTCTATGGAGTTATAGAAACACGCGGAAAAGTTTTCCCGTAAGTTTTGCTTTTTATCGTTAACATTTGTATGCTGTCTTAGACATTTCTATGCTATCTAGAAATAAAAACATTTTCTGTGTTTCTATGGAGTTATAGAAACACGCGGAAAAGTTTTCCCGTAAGTTTTGCTTTTTATCGTTAACATTTCTATGCTGCTTAGACATTTCTATGCTATCTAGAAATAAAAAAACATTTTCTGTGTTTCTATGGAGTTATAGAAACACGCGGAAAAGTTTTCCCCGTAAGTTTTGCTTTTTATCGTTAACATTTCTATGCTGTCTTAGAAATTTCTATGCTATCTAGAAATAAAAACATTTTCTGTGTTTCTATGGAGTTATAGAAACACGCGGAAAAGTTTTCCCGTAAGTTTTGCTTTTATCGTTAACATTTCTATGCTGTCTTAGACATTTCTATGCTATCTAGAAATAAAAACATTTTCTGTGTTTCTATGGAGTTATAGAAACACGCGGAAAAGTTTTCCCGTAAGTTTTGCTTTTTATCGTTAACATTTCTATGCTGCCTTAGACATTTCTATGCTATCTAGAAATAAAAACATTTTCTGTGTTTCTATGGAGTTATAGAAACACGCGGAAAAGTTTTCCCGTAAGTTTTGCTTTTATCGTTAACATTTCTATGCTGTCTTAGACATTTCTATGCTATCTAGAAATAAAAACATTTTCTGTGTTTCTATGGAGTTATAGAAACACGCGGAAAAGTTTTCCCGTAAGTTTTGCTTTTTATCGTTAACATTTCTATGCTGTCTTAGACATTTCTATGCTATCTAGAAATAAAAACATTTTCTGTGTTTCTATGGAGTTATAGAAACACGCGGAAAAGTTTTCCCGTAAGTTTTGCTTTTATCGTTAACATTTCTATGCTGTCTTAGACATTTCTATGCTATCTAGAAATAAAAACATTTTCTGTGTTTCTATGGAGTTATAGAAACACGCGGAAAAGTTTTCCCGTAAGTTTTGCTTTTTATCGTTAACATTTCTATGCTGTCTTAGACATTTCTATGCTATCTAGAAATAAAAACATTTTCTGTGTTTCTATGGAGTTATAGAAACACGCGGAAAAGTTTTCCCGTTTTGCTTTTTATCGTTAACATTTCTATGCTGTCTTAGACATTTCTATGCTATCTAGAAATAAAAAAACATTTTCTGTGTTTCTATGGAGTTATAGAAACACGCGGAAAAGTTTTCCCCGTAAGTTTTGCTTTTTATCGTTAACATTTCTATGCTGTCTTAGACATTTCTATGCTATCTAGAAATAAAAAAACATTTTCTGTGTTTCTATGGAGTTATAGAAACACGCGGAAAAGTTTTCCCGTAAGTTTTGCTTTTTATCGTTAACATTTCTATGCTGTCTTAGACATTTCTATGCTATCTAGAAATAAAAACATTTTCTGTGTTTCTATGGATTATAGAAACACGCGGAAAAGTTTTCCCGTAAGTTTTTTTTATCGTTAACATTTCTATGCTGCCTTAGACATTTCTATGCTATCTAGAAATAAAAAAACATTTTCTGTGTTTCTATGGATTTATAGAAACACGCGGAAAAGTTTTCCCGTAAGTTTTGCTTTTATCGTTAACATTTCTATGCTGCCTTAGACATTTCTATGCTATCTAGAAATAAAAAAACATTTTCTGTGTTTCTATGGATTTATAGAAACACGCGGAAAAGTTTTCCCCTTAAGTTTTGCTTTTTATCGTTAACATTTTTATGCTGTCTTAGACATTTCTATGCTATCTAGAAATAAAAAACATTTTCTGTGTTTCTATGGAGTTATAGAAACACGCGGAAAAGTTTTCCCCGTAAGTTTTGCTTTTTATCGTTAACATTTCTATGCTGCCTTAGACATTTCTATGCTATCTAGAAATAAAAACATTTTCTGTGTTTCTATGGAGTTATAGAAACACGCGGAAAAGTTTTCCCGTAAGTTTTGCTTTTATCGTTAACATTTCTATGCTGTCTTAGACATTTCTATGCTATCTAGAAATAAAAACATTTTCTGTGTTTCTATGGAGTTATAGAAACACGCGGAAAAGTTTTCCCGTAAGTTTTGCTTTTTATCGTTAACATTTCTATGCTGTCTTAGACATTTCTATGCTATCTAGAAATAAAACATTTTCTGTGTTTCTATGGAGTTATAGAAACACGCGGAAAAGTTTTCCCCGTAAGTTTTGCTTTTTATCGTTAACATTTCTATGCTGCCTTAGACATTTCTATGCTATCTAGAATAGTAAATATGGATTTAGCACGAAAAGTGCGCTATATCCTATTTACTATACTATATAACCTTAAAACTTTCTTTATAACAGCATAAAATAAGACCATAGTTCAAAAGGCGTCCTCAGTAAAAGGTCATGTAAGAAAGCTGTGAAAAAGTCATTGTTTCAAAGGGTAAAATATGGAATCTATATGTTTTTAAAACTATCTTTAGAAATCAAGTGTTAAGAAAGCATCGTTTCGGAGGCGATCCGAGTAGCGCAAATTTTAGCGTAGCTAAAATTGAGCAGGGGATGGGATCGCCGAGAATCATGCGAGCTGGGGTAAAAATTCTAGCTTTAGCTAGAATTTTCGGCTCGCCCCGTTTTGTCCGAAGGACGACAGAGGCTTAAGAAATGCTCTTTAAAAACTATCTTTAGAAATCAAGTGTTAATAAAACATCTTTTCAAAATATGGAATCTATATGTTTTAAAAACGGTCTTTACAAACAAATGTTAAGAAAGCATCGTTTCGGAGAGGGCTCGGCAGCGCAGAGCACTTCGTGCTCGAGCAGGGGAATGGAGCCCTCGAGAATTCTAAGCGACGGTGGGGAAAATTTTCACGAAGTGAAAATTCGGAGCGTCCCCTTACATTCGAAGAATATTCGAAGAATATTCGAGAATAACAGAGGCTTAAGAAATGCTCTTCAAAACCGTCTTTAATAATCAAGTGTTAATAATCAAGTTAACAAGACCTGTCAGGCGCGTGTCTTAGTGCATGTTTTCAAACAATGGTTGTTTAATGTAATAGCACATTTCATCAGCGCATGTATAATAATCAAGTGTTAATAATCAAGTGTTAATAATCAAGTGTTAACAAGACCTGTCAGGCGCGTGTCTTAGTGCATGTTTCAACAATGGTTGTTTAATGTAATAGCACATTTCATCAGCGCATGTATAATAATACAATGTTGTACAAAATATGGAATCTATATGTTTTTTAATTTGTCTGTCAAGCGAGTGTCATATAATTTTGTTAAAAGTGTTTTAATAATTGTTTCAGGATTTTGAATTCTTTTGTATATCGCTTTTATAAACAGTTATGTGATATGTAGTCAAACATGAGGATTATTCTTCATCTTAAGTTTTAGCTTGATAGTTATTTTTAATAAATTTTTTAATTTTCGATTTCATCATTTACAAATTTTTTAGTTGATAGAATATTATCTTCTATAGTAGCCCTAAAATTTTGTGAAAACCATTAAATGACATAGATAATGTAGATTGATGTTGTGAATAAACTTGAATTTTGTTAATCCATTAAATGCTGCCAGCCATTTTCTTTTCCATTCGTCATAACCTAGTGAAACTGAAGATTTTGTTGTTCAATAATGAATAAAATATTATTATCTTTATCATCAACACAGTATACGTGATATAAATCTAGTAATGCATTAACTATCTTTTTTTCATTATCATTTGTTACTTTAATGATAAATTTTTTTTTAATCTTATCTGCCATAATATCTAATTTAATTGTTTTAGAGTTATCAGATGGATTTATTAATAAAAGTGTAAATTCAATAAATTTAAAATTTTTAAAATAAATTCTGATAATATTTTGTCGGGTATTAAAATTTTTATAATTTAATTGATTGCTATGGTACTACTTTTACCATTTACTCTGCTATCAATCTCATTCTTTGTATAGTTAGTTAAATTAGAAGTCAAAGCATACTTACCATCAGCTTGTGTTTTAGTATAATAGTTATTTAAATTAGAAGTCAAAGCATACTTACCATCAGCTTCAGTTTTAGTATAATAGTTATTTAAATTAGAAGTCAAAGCATACTTACCATCAGCCAGTTTTAGTATAATAGTTATTTAAATTAGAAGTCAAACATACTTACCATCAGCTCTGTGTTTTAGTATAATAGTTATTTAAATTAGAAGTCAAAGCATACTACCATCAGCTTGGTTTTAGTATAGTAGTCATTAAATTTACACTATCAGCTTGTGTTTTAGTATAATATTTATTTAAATTAGAAGTCAAA